TATCTAGGCAGCCTCTTCTCGAGTTGACAGGTTTTACCATGATGGCTAGATGAGCTTGCTCCAGCTTCACAAGAGTTCACAGGTTTCGCCAGAGTGAGACTTGTAAACCGGAACTAGGGAAGCAATGATAGTACAAAATGCCCCCCCCCCCCGTCGTCAAACTGCGCCGACAGGGGGTTTTACCGTGTGATAGGGAGTTTGTAGACTTTTGTAGGTACCATGTGAGTTAACCACAAGGTTTTAGAAATAATTTATGGAAAGAGATACATTAATAAGAGTCATATATTAAAGTTCACAGAACCCATTAATAAAAGTGCGAGTGCAGGTATCAGGCAAAACAATAGTAAGGTGCACAAATAAGGAAGGAAAACATTAATAGCCTAGTAGGAACACCGGAATTTACGGGCTACTCTCAACTTTTCAGAGGAATCCGAGAAATTTCCTAATACCCCTTCGTATGGAACCAAAATGTACGAAGGGTGTCTTCGGTCGACGAGCAGCACTTTGTGTGAGGCACAGCTTGTCAGCGATCTTCTGACAACTTGACGGTGAGATGTCGTTGATTGCACGAAGACGCCTCTCCACTAACGTCTCTGAAAAATTGGTTATAAACACGGCGTCGCACTGGTTTTTGTCACGGATAATTTTATTTCCATGGGTGGTGGGCCTAAGAGAATTCCACCAAATCCTCACATGTTTAAGTGCCTGGGGCTGAATACACTTAGCAATCGTAAGCTGGAGTATGTCGTTGTGTACACTCCACATCTCTGAGATGCGGTAGGCGTGGATCCACACCTCTTTGAGCTGGCTCAGGATGGGTTAATTGTGTAGCGTTTGATATGCCCCATTCCATCATTGAAGGGTAGCGTCTTATGGAATACATATCTCCCTCACTATTCACTCCATTTCCTTTACAATTCTTTTTTTACCATTTTCATTTGGGATGCTGCTTTAGCGGCAAGTGGTGCGCTTACTACGCGTACGTTCCGGGAGTGAGTGGCCTCTTAACCAGGCCAGTCAAGGCTTTTACCATCCCCCATGCCTAACTTGGTTCCAGACTGAAGAGATGACATCACGCGGCTAGTCCTTTCGTTAGACCGCCACTGCCCGGCCCATCACGGGAAAAAGAGTTCAAGCAGCAGCGGTTCAGGTCCATTCTTGGTCCTTTACGGTGTTTGGCACTGAGAATCAGGTTTTCACTTGTCTAGAAGAAAAGAAACTCTGGTGTACACGAAGGTTCTCTACCGGCGCACTGCGCTCCCATTGAACTAGCAGTAGCTCGTCAAATCCTACAAAGTTAAACTGCGTGGCTCTAAAAAAAGCACATCCAAAACGTTTCCCAATCATTGACTGTTCAGAAACCTTGCCATATCAAATGTAAGTGCTCACACAACAAGTGATACAAGAATTGCATCTGATAATTATCGGCTGCGACAGATAATTGCCGTCCCATCCAAGCAACATACCCTCTGCTACATTTTCTCAGACCTTCCCATTGACCTCAGTGGGCTGCCACTTTCAGGGCGTTGCTTTTACGAGTTCAGGTAAACGACGTCATTTGCAGCTCACCAAACAATGTTGCAGTCTTCTTGAAGTCGTCATCATTGGGTGCAGACAGATCGAGTCCTGTCCGTAGTCGTAAAATCCTCTCGATCTTCCGCTGGAATGCTGCGGTCCGCTCTGTTCCGTCGGGCTCAGCTCGTAATTCTTCCATTGCGATGACGATTAGACGAGCTGAACTTCATTATTTCATTGGAAATATTTTGAGTTGACGAGCATTTAGCGTTCTTACTCACCATATAATTCGATCGCTTCGTTATCCTTGGTCTTACGAACACTCTCACATTCAGCTGTTACTCCTTCTGATTTCTCAAGCTTTTGCAATTCCTCCTCTCTACACTCTACGCAGAGCCGTCTTTGAGAAATTGTTTTCTTGAAAATAGCCGTCACATGGGGAGTCGTCAGCCCTTCTTGGCATCCACGATAAGGGCGAGCTGGAAATAAAACAATAAGCTTCCTATCGCTTGTGTCGACCTGATTTTACTGCCATTTTTTTATTTATAGCTATCAAAAAAGATACATTGTGCTGTTAATGTCTGTAAACACCGGGGGCTCGGAAGAAATTGGGGGGTGGGGGTAAAGGAAAAAGCAGTAGACGTACCTCCATTGACAACGGTCTTCACGGAAAGCGTGCTCAGCTGACTGCCGTACCGTCGAAGTTTTCTTCTGGTACGTCTCGAATATGGTCCTTCTTTGAGCGCTCGGATTTTGACATCTTCTGTGCTTCCTATGGTAAGAGCAGGATATGTGTAGTCATGATCTTCACGACCAAATAGATTCTCCGATGATTGGTGATTCTTGTACCCCTTCTCCTGATAGGGCAGTAAATTGTAATATACATGGTCCTCATAGTGATTGCACGAAATCGCCGATTGAGTACGATTCAGAAGCTGCACGTGATCAACAAATCCCGAATCTCTACACGTTTTCCACGACTCGATGGTAGGCTCTGGAGTTGCAGCTTCTTTGGCAACAGCTTTTTTGTTGGGACTACTTCCTACTCGACAGTAAACATAGGCTTCGTCCTCGCTTATCGAATAATCAGACCATGTGACTGAGGAATCTGGTGAATCAGCGCTCATGATCTGGAAACAAAGATTTTGAAACTTCGGAAAATGGAATTAGGGAAAGGAATAATTGCGAAGGCGTTTCACAAGGGTGGGATACGTCACAGGAAAGGAGATCCGTAATCTGTGAAGAGATCAGCTCAAAACAATGGAGTCAAAGCGAGGCTGCAGGAAATTTCCATAATTAATTTTTACTAATTTCCTATGACACATTTAAATAGCCACTTTCTTCGCAAAAGCAAAGGCGGACAATCTTTTCTTCAGAGAAGTCAGGTCGGATATCACTATATCTGTTAGTTCTCTCTTCAGCCGTCTCTCTCACAGTTTGAGGAATTCGTTGCTCCTGTGTTCCGTGTATCGCCAAAGGTTGGACGGAATTGAGGGAAGTAACAGAGATTGTTGGCAGTTTTCGACTCGGCGGGGGGCATTCCGCACTTTCGCTAGTTTCTTCGGCCAGTTTCTATTGAATTGCACGTCGTGATACCTGTTGACTCTTGTCAAGTGCAAACGGGGCTTCATGCCACTGCCCAACTTCACAGGGATCTACAGGTTTTGCAGGGGCATCGGAAGTGATCGATGGGAATCACTAACCCCCCCCCAACCAAGTCTTCCTTGCTGGGAGCAGGGTACAGCATCGTGGTGTGAAATGGTAGTGTAGAACGACTCCCCTCCGAGGCGAGGGAGGGTGTCAGTACGAACCCCCCCCCCCACCTAAGTGAGGGTCTCGGTACGACCCCCTTCCCCAACACCTACCTACCAATTTCCCCCATTTTTCAGTTTTTCACCCAAAGATTTTCCGTCGAGCGGAGGGCGGGTGGCGGTATATACCCCATGTGAAATGGCAGTATATAGCCCTTGTGAAACGGGAAAAGGGGAAAATTTTTTAGATTTCTATCAAAAGCCTACCACTTTTTCCAGAATTTCTCGAAAATTCTCCTACTTTTCTCCAGAAATTTTGCCGTCGAGTGTATAGTACAGGAAAACAGGAAAAGTCAGGCGAAAAGTCAACAACCGGGAAAAATTTTCTCCTAACGCAGCAAATTTCTCTCAAAGGCACATACGACTTCTACCCCTCTCTCAACGACCAAATACGACCCTCGCCCTCCTCAGCGGAAAAGTACCCTCCCTATCTGTTTCACACAAACGATGCTGCACCCTGGAAAGGACTAATCCGGGCTCTGAATATCCTGTTCTCCTGAAGAAATTATCCAATCGACACGTATTGACGGTATTCAGTAAAATACGTGCGAGTGTTCTAGAACCCACAATCAGCAGTAGGCTCAGAACTAGCACCATTTGGTAAACTAGTGGTGAGTTTCACGACCTCATTCGCCTCTATCAGCCATGAGCATTGCGTGCTGGTGGCGCGACCACCGAAATCTAATAGGGAGGGGGGTCAGCAGTGAATTTTTCAACTTCTGTTACTTGACCGCCAAGATGTGGAACCTTTGTTAGATCAAGGTAGAAGACGTTATGTAAGTGTGGTGCCCAACCCGCGATGTTCGCCTCTAACAAGAACGCTTCAGCAGTTGCCGAGAGCTGATACTCCAGGGGTCGGAAAAACAGAAGCAAAGGTAGATGAGAAAGTGAAAAAATTGGCGTGTCTACCTTTTACTGTTCTACTTCACGGCATTGTTAGAATGGACTTGATTGGTAGTTCTCCCCCAGCAACTGATTCAAGAAGAAGGAAAAATATTGCTAGTTTCACGGATTGAAGAAATGAAATAGCGAAAAATGGTTTGTTTCGCCTCTGAATCAGACAAACCCATCATATTATCGTCCCCTTAGGCTCAAAAATACGTTCTAAGCGGATATATTCTGATCCTTGAACAGGAATATCGTGGATTCCTGGGGCGAGAACGTCTGGTGCCCAGGCGCCACCGTCGCAGGTCAGATTTGCCAACGGCGTCGATACCAAAGCCATAAGGCCAATAAGGAGCATCAGGCTCGCGCAGTTAGAATGTAGTATTCAGAGCCTTCAGCAGCCTTCAGTCTCGCTGATCTAGGTGTTTTGGAGCCGGAGCCCGGACTGTGAGGGACGAACAGTTCCAAGACAAGTGGATGTGATAATCGAGTTGAATCTATCAAAGTACCCCAAATTGCACCTTCCCAGCAAACTTCACTGCCTGAGAACAATCACGACTTGTTCCTTTCGAAGGATATGGCAGTAATGGGTGAATAGGGCCGAAAGCCTCTCAAAATTTCCCTGCATCCTAATCGGTTCCCATACAAAAGCGGCAGCATGGCGTACACCAAAGGACTCAGACAAGACTAAAGATCTATTCTTCGAACGTCACGGTTACCCTAATACAGGAAATTGGTTCCAGGAGAATCATCTCTGATGAGAGTTTGAAGTCCAATTCATACACCTGCGTACGCAGTTTCTGAGTAACGAAGACTTACAGAGGTCGATTTCATAGTGTAACCCTTAAAGACCGACCTAGGCCAAGGTTTCTAAGAGCACTCAAACTACTCATCGTTTTTTTAACAAACACTTGGGAGCACTTGGAAGCAGATTCGTATGTACACCTGAACATGCTTAGCCTAGAGCAGTTCAAGAGCAGTTTCTAAATGTTTGGCATTAAACATGGATGACCCATTCGCTTGGAAGTACGGGGTGCTATTCCTTAGTGGGCGACCACCTGGTAAGTGGGATATCTGCAAAGCGTCAAGCTGTAGCTCTTCTGCAAATACTGGGTACCAAGCAGTGCCAAAAATGACTATTCGACGATCTGTCAAAGCGTAATTAAGTTATGAAAAGATGCCCTTTGGGTGATATTTCATTCTCGTGGAATTGCGATATGGTTTAGGAGGACCCTAGATATGGCAACGGCTACCCTCTTGTCATCTTCTTTGACTAGTGTTATAGAGAAGTGATTCATAATTGCAAGCCAAATAAAATTAAAAGAAAATGTGACAAGAAAATTGTATGGGAAAATGATCAGAAGGGAAGATTCCCACAAACAGAGCAGCTGCAGGAGTTCCCAGATGTAGGGCTGCTGGGAATGTGTCTGGTGCTTTTATTCGGGGTCAACCGATTATGGCGTGTGATAGGGGTTGAGGTGGCAATAGTAATAGCCGAATCGGTGATCGTTAACGCTCGACGAGAGGTGCGAATTAGGGGATTCATATCTCCACGGGATATCTATACCTGTTCTGTAAAGAACAGCGCAAACACGACATCAGTTGAGGCACGCGTCCTGTGATCGGCAGCTCTTCTCAGCTCTGTTCCGGAGATTAATGAAAGCGATAAGCGGAAGCGAAAGGGGAACTCTTTGAGATCTCTGGATTCCATGGGCTTTTACGTAGTGTTTCTACCAGAAGAGCTTTGGGTAATTCGTGAACTAGTTTTTGCTATTGACAGTTATGGCTCTATTCGGCTCGAAGTAAGTACTGCTGCAATTTTTGGCCTTGCACTTTTAGTTTATGTTGCATGACCGAGCGTCCAAGTTTGGGCGACGGCCGACAGGCGCGGTGGGGAGCGTGCATTCACACTCTCTCCCGTCGACGTGTTCGACCATACGGGCGACAAGCGTTTCTCGATATTGACAGGTTTGTACCGTGATGGCTGACAAGTCTTGCTCCAGGTTGGCAGTTTTCACAAGAGTTCACAGGTTTCACCAGAGTGAGACTTGTAAACCAGAACTGGTGAAGCAACGAAAGTGCAAAATGCCCCCCCCCGTCGGCAAACTGCGCCCAGGTCCCACTTTGGCAAGACCAGTGAATGGGACTGACCACAAAGGAGTTCACAGGTCTTCACTAGATAGACAATACAAGCTTTGCTCGTTACCATTTAGTGCCCTAACCAAGCCAAACCAAACCAAAACACTTCTTTTCAATTTGTCCTAGGGACAGCTGCACCACATCCCGGATGTCCGTGATGCGAAAGCTGCCACAAGATTGTTGAGTTATGGGTAAAGCACTAGGCGACAGTCATGACCAAATGGTGCTAGGGATCAAGGCCGGCCCAATTGTGGAAACGTTGGGTAGGATAGCGAGCTCCAGGTCCGAATCCTTGTTGAGTCTGAGCTTGCACATTGTTTAGAATTCTTATTGGACATACTGTCTGTGAAACTGTGTACAGCGAAGTCCGGGAGATTACAACAGTTATCTTCAAATTCCTTGAGAAGCATAGCGGGACAAAAGTGAGGCAGGCTGTTCATCTTCAGCATGAGCCATGCATTGGACTTCCACTCGAAGTTGCACAAGCTTCCAGTTGCATATTAGCCGGTGGACTTTGCTTGACTCTAAATTTCCCCTTCTATATTCCAATATGTGAACTCAGTGGGAGGTTAGTTGTGGATAGCCGTGAAAAGCTAACAGACCCGGGCTGAACTGTCGTCGTTTTCAGATGACTTGACCTTCAAGGCCATGTACTTGGAGATAAAAGTAATCAAGTCAGATTATGCTTAAACGCGGCTGGCACGACAAGCAGGATTAATACGCCTGACAAAATGGAATTTTGTGTCCCTAAGCAGTTGCTGCGCAGCGCCTCTTCCAATAAAGTTACCCTTACAAGGCCCTATCAAGCTGAAACATACCAACCCGGACGCCCACTGTTCTAATAAGTTTTTTAGTTTTTGCCCCCTATAAGAAAAGAGGACATTGCTCTTATTGAAAAAGTCCAAAATAATTTCACCAGAAAGATGTTAATCCGTCGCGGTGGCTTCCTGTATGCTAAAATCCCTAAGGCAGAAATTAGGAACAAATATTTTCGGTCTTCCCTCCTTACATTCCAGGCGGACCCTTTTTGACTTATGTATTATACATATGCTGCATAAACTATACTCGAAATCCCTGAGATCGGGTAGGCGTGGCCGCATGTTTCAACTTAACCTGAAGGTGTCTATGCTTCTGGTGAGATATTTTCATCTTGACACAATTGTTGTCGTGTCTCTGTCCAACACAGAACAAGAGAACAAGATGACAGTTGTCCCAGACTGGAATATTCCACGAGTAACCAGTTCCGTGCCATGTTCAAATGCCACGCCTACTCTGGCTCAGGGATAAGGAGT